AAATTTTCAAGAGTCTGAGAACCGCTTTTGTCAGATATTGTTTGATTATTTTTATCCAAGGTTCATGTATTTTGGACTCAGTGATCCTTATGGGTCCCTTCCAACTCAGGATATTCTACAATTCTGTGATTTTTTGAGAAATTCTCTAGCTCTGGTTCTATTTCAGGCCTAGATTAGAAGAAGAAAAGGGCTTTGATTCCTTCTCGTCTTCTCTTTCTACAGCTAATAAGGTGATCTCACTCCTCAAAAAATGGTATATCTTATTTGAAGCTCCTCAAAGCTTATGTGGGACTGTTTGTGTCTGAGTACATGTTGATCACTGAATTTTGATGCAATTGCTACAGAATGGCAGGAATATCATGGTCATTTTTCTTCCGAGGGATTGATTTAGCTAATTCAAGTCTTGACTTTGAAAAAAACCCAAACAGATAAAAACCAATATTTAAGCAATCACTTGATTTTCCTCAATATTTACTCATTTTCTGGGTGACAGATCAAGGCCTGGAGATTTACAGGAGCTGGAAGAAAAGATGAGTCCTCTTACTAGTGAGTTTTGTTGTAAAAGGGAACATCACTTGATGATATATTGGCAGTTTGGATGCTATCCACAGTCATGATGGTCTTGGAAGAGAAATAATAAAAATCTTATGTGTGGGAGCCAAAGGCACATGGCCTTTGTGGACAGGACAAAAGAAAACAGCCATAAACTTGAGCATAGGAAGTTCTGCACCAAAAGCTTTGCCTTTCACTCTGAAGTTGGTGTGGTAAAGAAATATTATCCAAAAAGTATATTCAGTTATGAATTTCTGATACGAAAAGTTAGTCTTTGCAGCAAGGAAAGCACCTATACATACTGTGATGTAAGCAATTCTTACTAGAAGAGCTTTTAAGGAGCTTCAGAATATTAAATTAGAATTAGAATGAGAATTAAAAGATACTTCTGAATTTTGGAATACATTTTACTAAAAAAAAATGTAAATAAAATTCCTTCTCTTGTTCCGGTCTGAGTATATACCGACCATAATTTGCAGACAATCTGGCAAAACCCACATAGCATGCAGGATCTAGCCTGTGTATTTTGCTTAGAAAAAGAAGATAAAGACTGTTCAGTAAACTAGATGCTGGTGCCCTTGGTTTTCTGTTCCGGTCTAGCACAGATGAAATAAAAAAAAGGCCTACCGCAACATTTCTCTGTATTAGTTCATCAGATTACTGCTTAATAGAAATAGCAACAGTTGGTGCGTAGAATGCTTCATGTACAGCATTATTAGCAGTTCTGTAAATTCACTCTTGCACTCTTGCACAAAACACTTTTCCCAGTTTCCCTGAGACCGAACGTACTCTGTAATTGTAGATTCATATACTTTAATGCATATTGATAACACACTTAAATACATGGGTTGTATAAATCTGAACATAATTGTTCACTGGTATGGTGAATATAAATTCTTTATCTAAGGAAAAATCTATATTATAATGAAAAATATCAGAACTCCTAGCCATGGTATTTGTGAATAGTAACATAGTATAAAACTACAGGGAATATGCTCCTGCTTAACAAATAATCCATTCTCAAAGGCTTAGAGAAGGTAAAATGACTTAGTTGTCTGGTGTGATTTTTGTCTCGAATCTTGTATTGCACTTTTTGTTGTCTGTCTTGTTCTGTGGTTTAAAGCTGGTTTAGCGTGTAAAGTTTATTTATCCTTTTTATGAGAGCATGATTTATGCTGTGATAATAATTCCCAAGATTAAACGTACTACTCCTAACAGTGTAAGAAATCCTGCAATTGTTCTATTTTACCATATTGTAACATAATTTAGCAAATAAACATGCAATCCTTTCAATTGACTTCTGAAATATTTTTATACTGAAATGGTAACCAGCTTAAGTGTTAGAAACACTTCTGTCTCATACAGCATATGACGGGCAGCCCCAATAAAGTCATGCAGAAAATGTTAAGAAAAGTATGGTTTGGTTTGCAGTAGCTCTTTCTAAAACCCCAAGAACAAGCATTAGTAAAGCAGTACTTTTTTTTATTTTATTTTATTATTAAGCCTTCCAGTACGCAGAGGATAAAACTTTGGATAAAACTAACAGTTGTCACTGTCCCTTCGCAATTAGCAAATGCAAATGAAGTATTATTTCCAGCCATGCTGGAAGGCACTGCATCCCCAGAAGCGTTAAAGGGTCTTGGATGCAGGGCAAGATTTTGCCCTTGTTTGTTGTGAGGCTAGTTTCAACTGGTGCTTTTTGGCCTCAAATTCTCTCCTCCTGACAAAAACTGGAGTTCTGCCTTTACAAGGAGCAGATGGCTGATGCAAAACCTTGCAGCTCCTGGCGAACCCTGAAGCTTCTCGGTATCTATTAAAACTTTTTTTGTTACAGTTAAATGACAACAAAATTTCCAACCATAATTACATTTTTAATGGAATTAGACAAACATTTGAACTTGCTATATTTATATGTATATGTATATATCTCTATTTCATGCCTATGTCTTACTACATTAGTGTGATAAAGCCTTTAAACTATTTTGCATTTCTTTGCTGTTGCCACTGTGGTAGATACCCTGATATAACTTTACTGAAATAAGAACTGTGAAAATACAAGGACGGGCCATATGATAAATTTCATTCTTGTTTATCCTGGATGATTTCCAGGCAGCAGATTTTTGTCAAACTGTGGTATTTTAATGATGAAAAAAAAAAACTAATGCTTTCAGAATAAATCAGTTATTTGCATGAAATTCTCAGTTCTTGAAAGAAGCTGTCTGAGTCTAAGGGAATGATGTGCTGAACTGTTAGAGAGGATAAGGCTTATTTTTTCCTTTAGTTTCAGTAGCTCTTGGTGTCAGGTTATGTATATGAAATCCAGTGTGCTTGTCGACTGCCTCAGCTTCTGCATGTATCAGAGTAATTGCAGATGCAGAAGAGTGCATTAATATAGAAGTTCATTGGAAGTGCTTCTTTACTGGAGTTCTCCAAGGTGAACAGCAGGTATGCCAGTGATAGAAAGCTGGGAGGAGTGGCTGACACACCTTAAGAATGTGTTGCCTTTCAGCTAGACCTGGACAGACTGGAGAGCTGGGAAGCAATAAACCAGATGGGCTTTAAAAAAAGCAAATACAGAGTCTTGCACATGGGAAGGAATAACTGCAAGTAACAGTACAGGTTGGGACACGACCTGCTGGAGAGGAGGTCTGTGGAGAAGGACCTGGATGTCCTGGTGGACAGGAGGTTGGCCATGAGCCAGCAGTGTGCCCTAGCAGCCAAGAAGGCCAGTGGGATCCTGGGGTGCATTAAAAGGAGCATAACCAGCAGGTCGAGGGAGGTGACATTCCCCTCTACTCTGCCTTGTTCAGGCCTCACCTGGGGTACTGTATCCAGTTCTGGGCTCCCTGATACAAAAAAGACAGGGATCTCCTGGAGAGAGTCCAGCAAAGGGCCACAAAGATAATAAAGGGCCTGGAGCATCTCCGCCATGAGGAAAGGCTGAGTGAACTGGGTCTGTTCAGCCTTGAGAAAAGAAGACCTAGAAGGGATCTTATTAATGTTTATAAAAATCTCACGTGTGGGAGCCAAAGGGACATGGCCAGCATCTTTTTCCGTAGTCTGTGGGGACAGGACAAGGGAAAATGGCCATAAACTGGAGCATAAGAATTTCTGCACTGATATATGAAGGAACTTCTTCATGGTGAGGGTGACAGAGCACTGGAACAGGCTGTCCAGGGAGGTTGTGGATTTGCCTTCTCTGGAGATATTCAAGACCTGTCTGGATACCCTGTGCAGCCTGCCATAAAGGGGCCTGCTTTGCAGGGGGGCTGGACTTGATAATCTCTAGGGGCCCCTTCTAACCCTTACAATTCTGTGATTCTGTGAAGTTTACTAGCCTATATAGATAGAAGCATTAACATTTCTGCAGAAAACCCACCGGGACCAAGTTTAAGCTCTGACAGATGGTCAAACTGTTTCATTTATTTGTTCACGGTTTACTGTCTAAAGACTGAGAATGGTATATTTTGTTAAGTGTATAGGGAAGTGACAGAGATAAAGGTTGCATTTCAGGAAGAGTATTTGTCTGGAGAATTGGAGTGATGAGGAGAGAAAAAGGAATTATAAGGACCTTGCAAGAGTGTGTGTTGTGCAGGGCAAAGGCAGGCTTGGGAAGAAAAAGGTTTCTATTGGTGATCCAGAGACTAAGGTTGCTTCAGTCCAGGGAGCTGCTGAAGACTGATGATCTTCAAAGAGATTTGATGAAAGGAACAGCTGCTTTCTTCATTTTTACTTGCAGAGAAGTCTAGTATAATCTTGCTAGTCTTCACTGTAGATTTTATGGAGGATTGATACGGTCTGAGAAGCTGGGACAATACTAAGTAAAGGGCAGTTGTAGGTTTAGGTGACTGTATTTGTATCGTTGCTCTTCTTTTAATAACTTGATTTTAACACTGTTCACTTTATAGATTGAGGTGCTATTTGGAGGGGATTAATTTAAAAAAGAGACACTGTGTTAACTATCATAACTGTCTCTTTTTCTTATACATGTAATTGTCTATGGTTTATTATCCTACCTATATTTATATACAGTGATACTATTCATAGTTATAAGGATTAGTTCTAGTGATGTTTGTACTTTTTTTTTTTTACTGAGGCCAGTTCTTTCTCACTTTTATTGAACAATATCTTATTGTGTGACTGTTCCCGTCGATTCTACCTAAATTACTTAGGGATTGTATATTCATGGACCAAAGTTATTTGTCTCAATTTTTTTTCAGAATAATTTTTTTGTATTTATTGATAAAAGAATTCTCTTTCATGATTGATTGCTAGGTAGTAGTATTGGAAGTATGGTGTACATCTCACTCTAACTCACAAGTCTGATGCTGTTTAGAATTCTTATGCAAGGAAAATCAAAGGTTAGTGAAGTTGAAAAAACAAATACTGTTCTTCCTGGGACTTTACTGGGGTTATTTTAATTGTCAATATTTCTTTTCTTTTCCTAGGCAATGTTCAGTCTCTGCATGGTTGAAAGTGAAGCTGACGAGGTGAATCTGCATGGTGTCACAAGCCTAGGTTTAAAACAAGCCCTGGACTTTGCATATACTGGACAGGTACTGCACAGCTCTTTAAATTGAGAGAAATTAAAACAATTTGCAATAAAAACAGAAGACTGCCCTGAGAAACAGAAGACTGTGCATTCCCCAGTGCAAGGTCTTTTGACTTAACAGATCTTACTTAGGCTATATTGTTTATGTGAGTAGTTTGTTTGTTGTTGTTCTCCCCCCCACCCATAGAGGAATTTTCCAATAAAAACATGTTTACTGTATTATATCCATTGCATTGTATCCAACCAGTGAACCATATATGGCTTATATGCCCTTTTTATGGTGGTCTGATTGTTCATAAAAATTTGATGTGAGTTGATCCATGTGCTAAATGAGAGAGAAAAAAATAAAGTAGGCATTTTTCTAATAATAAATATTTATGAACCTTTGCTAGGCTTGACTAATTGTACAGTGGAGGGGAAATGCGGTCTTTTACTTTCTGGGAAGATAAAATCCAGTTATCTTTCTAAATGCGTATAGCTACTGTGCATCTTTCTTTGTTGCAATTTTTATGAGAGCAGATTGTATATCATATTATGTTACTAGTGTATCGGTGTAAATGAAACTTTGGAGAATTGGAGAATGTAAAGTGATGCTCCTATTTCTGCTCCTACTTGACTCCTCTTACACCCACCAAAAATAACCCCCAAAAGCAAACAAACATTTCAAACAAACCAAACAACAACAGCAAAAACCCGCAATAAAAGTACCCAATGCATTTATATGTCCTGCCATATCTATTCTTTGCATTCCTTGTCAGTGTTTCTCTATAATTTCATCTCAGTTCAGTTCAGTGAACTAAGAGCTTCTTATACCATTGGAGATATTTTTGCTTTGTACTTAAACATTCTAGAAAACTGAAGTATTTATGGAATTATTGCAAAAACAATTTAATTTATGAATTAATTTTGAAAAGAAGCTTAAATCCATTTCTGTGTTGTACTGTGGTGTATGTAGTCATTAATTTTTCAAGGGGAATTAAATAGAGGTAAAGAATTTATAATTTATTACCAGAATACAGATAATAGTTTGCTATTAGCTTTAGAGACTAACTCTTGAGATTTCTGTGTTTCGTGCTAGGAAAACAAAACTTTGAATATTGAATAAGCTTTTTCTTTGTATTAAAAAAAAAAAAAAAGAGAGAGAGAGAGACCATGCTATGTTACTGAATTGGCTGAAGTTACCAGTTATATGTACGGTTTTTGTTATTTCAGTTGAAAGCTGTTACAGGTAAGATTGTTTCTTGTATTGTGGAGAATCTGTGCCATCCTCGAAGTTATTTGAGATACAGATTTAGTATAGTGACAGTAGAACTCTTGTTGCTAAACAAATCTGAAAGATCAAAACCAATTTTGAAAACGTGCTATAATGTACTGGTTTTTTCTATCTGCTGTGAACAGAACAGTCCCCTATCTTTCATCAGAATTCAAAGTCTAGTAAAACTATGTAAAATAAATGACTATGATTGGATGAGTTTGTTTATTATAAGACAATAGTCTAGCCCACCTTACTTCTGGGGCAGTATCCTCAGCTCCCTAGTACTTAAAATGCTTCCTATCTTTGAGCCTATAGAGATTTCTGAGTCTTTCATTTTTAAATACAATCTACTTTCAATAAATTAGTTGGCATCTTGAGTTAAATATAGATTTGCCTGTATATACAGTAGCTCACATTCATAAGAGTTTATAGGGCGTTTTATACTCTTATCAGCTCTATTGGATATGCTACTTTGAAGCACAGAAATTACAAGAATTCTCAAGGAATTCTCTTAGAAAGATATTTTTGAAGTACAACACAGCGATAATGCAGATCAGTGAAAATGTAATATTGATTTTTTTCCCTTATGCCCTTGAAATTCTCTTCTTGTGCTTGGTTTATAAATATTGAGCATCGCTTATGTACTGACTCAGACTGACAAAACCTTGGTGAACATTTATGTTTCAAGGTACTGAGTGGGAATAATCCACAAAGATTATTAATAAATAGTTGGATTATTGCATGCTTATACCAAAGTTGTGAAACCAGACATTTTCATTTTCATTTGAGTATGTGAACTGTTTCTGTTCCTGTTTTTGTTTCAAAGTATTTCTTAGTAAGCCAAAATTAATTCCTGCCAGTTACAATATGATATTGCTCTGACATATCAAGATATGATCAGATTTGCTTGTCAAAAAAAGGGAAAAAAAAAAGGCTTTCAGTTTGAAAACCTTCAGTCACTGCAAATAAACCACTGTGCAACTGACAGCAGTATAGTGACAGTAATAACCTATCCATGTCTCAACAGATAAATATTTAATTTCAGCTTTTCTCTACTTATTTTAAAAAATATTTTGCTAAACTTATATTCAGTTTGAATGTAACTTTAATGTAACTTTCTGTGTAAAATAGTGCATTAGAGACATCTGCTGGAAATATTCAATATTGCATGATGGTAATTGATGCCTATGGTTGTTTAAAATCATCAAAATTAACAAATTTAATTTTTAGCATGATATTGCAATCAGAAATGCAACTCTAACATCCTTATGTTATTATTTTTAAATTTGAAATGCTACCACAGACTTATAGTACTGATGTTATCACCCTGTCTGCTGAGGCAGACAGTGCCTTATTGTAATAACTGCTGTAAATCTTTTGCTTTTAGAAGAAAATTGATTTTTCAGTAGAAGGAAAGGTTGTGATAAGATGGAAGTTAAAGAATTTAAGAATTCCAATGGAATTAATCCATTATTATGGTCCCATATCATATAACAACAAAGAAATAAATGTTGGTATAGAAATGAATAAAAAGTTACAAGAGGAAAATTTGATTTTCTTTCCTCAACAGTAAAGCTAAGGTGAAATACAGAACATAATTTCAGCAGAGTGCTCTTTGCATGTAGACTGTCAGTAATACTCTAATAGCAAAATCTTGGGCAAAAGTGACCTTTCCTCTTACTCTGCTGTTCAGCAGCAAAAATACAGTAGATTTACTTGGTGGGATATTTTCCCTTTGATAGGCTCTTTCCTGAGTGCTATATGTGAATGCAAAAGATGAAGGTTAAAAGTGCAGCTAATGGTTACTCCTGTAATGAATTTAATGATAACGTTTCATGTTTTCTGCATCAAGAGAGTTAGGAACCTCAAATCTATCTGCATTGTTTTCTCTTGCAAATCTACTGTGCCTGAATACAATACCTACAGCGATTAGCTTTCAGATTCTGTCAGGACATCATTATCTTTCTTTTGGAATTATGCATCACCATCATAGCTGTCTTTTCTAATATGAGGTCCCAGTCATTTTTTTTGTGCCCTTGTGGTCATGGCCATAACATCATCATGAAGGAATGTTACTCACATCCCTCTTTTACTTAGCAGTTGAATCTACAATGCCCGATCTTCAAGAGGAAAGCTTTTGTGACAGACAGTAAAAGTATAATGTGCTTAATTCCTCCAGTCTTTTCAGGTGAGGCTAAAAATGAAGACATACTGAAGTATGAAGAAAAGTACGCCTGGTGGACTGGACATTTTACCACGTACTCCATGTACTCACAATACAGTGAAAGGATTATTTCCCTGCTGTAGTTGGCCATGTCCTTTCTTCATAAAAGGGTACTAGGATCATTCTCTTTTTTACTTCAAGGTGGTAGTGATCTCAGTGATTAGATTACTCAACCTTTGTTCTCACAGGGCATTCTGCAAATATCAGATGTGCATTGGAAAGGGGGGTGGATGAAACATAAACAAGACAGTAAGTAATGTTTTAGATATTAATATTAGGAAACAGCTCTTGGAGCAGGGCTTGGAGTTCACAATTCCTTCTGTCTCAACCACTGGATAATGAGTAAGAGTCTAGGTTATAAAGTCACAAGCACTGTTGTCTGCTCTTTTTGTTGTTGTTTTTGAGTTTTTCTTCTTTGTAACCATAATCTCATTTGGAGAAAAGGAATCCAATTAAACCATGAACAAGCTGGTTTAGTTGGATGGCAAATCTCTCATTATTACAAGAAAATATGCTTCTGGTCAGAAGAAAACCTTTGGACTTCTGAAAAGTTTCAGTGCTGAAGACAGAATCTTAGAAAGTGTAAATCTAGTAGGACTGAGTAAGTAGCTTAAACTGAAAATTTGAGGCTCCTCATTTTAGATGAGGCTCTCACATTCCTCCTCAAATTTAGATCCTGCCAACTGCTTCATTTTTATTGATATTTTATGTACATGATACCATCATTTGAATCATCTGATGGACACTCTGCTGTTGTTTCTAGAAAGAAGGATAATGCAAGAACACTGGCATTAATTTGCAGTAGAGGACTGTGATCCAAATTCAATAAAAATAAAAATGCACATTTAGAGTCCTATATATACTGGAATGCTTTGCAGGCTTTGATCTCTTTTTGTAATTAAATTCTATTATATGTCTTTAATCCATAGTAATAAATAATATTTTGCATTTAGGTAGAATTTTGTTTGAGACATCAAAGCACATAGCAAAATCAAGCGATCACTGACTTTAATGTCTTTCCTCAAAAATAATTTTATTCTTTGATGCACATAACTTTCCAAAGGCCTCCTGGGAAGGCAGCATCTTAATGAGTCATAATATATGGTTCTCCTCCTGGCCAATTCCTTTTTTCTAACTGGCTATTTTCTGTTTTCTTTTTCTAAATCACAGTATTTTTTTTTTCTGTATTAATAAAAAGTTACAAAATCATTCTAAATCACCAAAGGAAAAAGGAAGGAATCAGAGGGATAGCCCTGGTATAAGGGCTGGTTTATGTTCAGCTCTTTCTCCAAAAACAAATTTTGGACTAGGTCATGCTATGTATCTTCTTAACAAGCCCTATTGCAGCTTTACATCCTTTCTACAGAAAGAGTGTTGAAATACTTCCATTTCTTGAAAACTACATACAAAAATAATTTTTAAATTTTTCTTTTCTTAGCTTATTTTTTTTTCACATCACCTTTTTTGATACTTATGTAAAAAGGAACATAAAAATTTTTTTTTTTTTTTACTCACAAAGTATTAA